GTTCAGGTGGGAAAGAGTTAAAGTGTAGGGAGTGAAAGTTGCCAGAACTGGGATTAGAACTGGTGGACTACAGAGAAGCTGGCTGAGGAACTGAGGACTGGGTTTACTTAAGGTAGACTGGGGCTGGAAACTGAGGCAGACAGCTGAGATGGGGGGGGAGGGCAAATAAGTGGGGGCAAGGAGGAGACAGCCAGGAAAAAAAACTGAGGCAGAAACCTAGTTGCTCAGGGGAAAAGGAAAAGGCAGTAGGGATAAGACAGTGGCAAAGAAACCAAGGGGTTTAGAGGCAGAGAGGAGCTCAGGACAGGTGTTGGAGATGGCAGTGAGCCAGAAGCGGGAGAGGGAGAAATGAGACAGAAGTTAGAGGGGCAAGGAGCAGAGATTGGAGCAGTGGCAAACCATAGTAAAGCAAAACCCAATTTAGGGGTCTAAATAACAGTTTTATTAAACAGACAACACACTGACACAGCCCCATGAAGTTATTGGTTCGCACACATGAGCACTCACAATGGCAGCAGGAGAAAGAGACTCTGGAAGTGTTGGAGTCCAGGTAGGGAAGAGAAGCAGAGCCCAAGTCCTTGGTTGCAGAGGGGGTGGGGGGTGTTAGCTACCTATCCAGGCTGGAAAGCGGTCCTTGTCCAGTAGGTGTTGTCCAGAGAGGGATTGCCGGCAGGGCCTCTGGGTGGATAGGTGATGTGGCATGGTGCTAGTCCAGATGGAGAGGGCGTCCCACTGCATCTGTCTTCACTGCCCCTTTTTATCAGGGCAGACCTTGTATGTCCTTAGTAGCAGGAGGCATGCCCAGGCAAGGGTCAGCCCCTGGTGTACTGAGCATGTGTGCTCCATGCAGGGATGTGCAGTTTCGGGTGTCTGTAATGGTGGGGTACAATGGTAGAGTTGCTCGTTCTTCAGGGTCTTTTGTCTTTCAAATGCTGGGTTCTTGTCTCTGTTCCTGGGTGAGGTCCATGGTTTCTGGATGAATCAATGCAAGGTGATGGCTCAGTCGTTACAGGCCATTCAGTAGAGGCCTGCTACCATTGTATTTTAATCATTCCCAATCACTCTTATTCATCCAGGAACCAATTTACATGGAAGGGGTACATGACTCATACAGTTGCAACACAGGGGATGCATGGGCAGAGGACACAAGGTGGAGGCTTGACATATTAAATGGAAACTTGGCATGACTTACGCTAACTTACATATATAGGCCTAAAACAGTAATCACACAATATAAAAGCAGTACAAACATAATAATTATCACTTATAAAACAACGGATATCGATATCAAAATAGCAGAGAATTTATTTGCAAAGAGGGGAGAGAAAAATAAAACTACCTAAAATAAAATGTTAATGCTTATCCTACTTATTTATAGGGAATAGAGAGGGAAAGAAAAAGTCAGAAATGGTTGGGGAAGGGGAGGTAATGCATTTTAAAATAAATTTAAAAAAAGAAAAACTGGGGGTTTTGCTACAACGACACCAAGATTTGGGGCGAGGTGGGCATGCTAGAAGGGAGAGACAGGATACACCTGGATCTGGACAGGTTACAGGGGTGGGTGAATGTAAATAGGATGGGATTCAACACTGACAAGTGCAAAGTACTGTACTTGGGCAGAAAGAACCAGGAGCATACCTATAGGGTGGGGAATTCCCTTCTCGAAAGCACAGTGGCAGAAAGAGATCTTGGAGTCATTACTGATTCTAAAATGAACATGGCCCACCAATGTGAGGATGCCGTAACCTTACCTTGTCATGTATCCACAGATGCATCATGAGCAGGTCCAAGGAGGTGATCCTCCCCCTCTATGCGACACTAGTCAGGCCACAGTTAGAGTACTGCATGCAGTTGTGGGCACCGCGCTGCCGGAGGGATGTGGACAGCATCGAGCTGAGAAGGGCCACTCACATGATCAGGGGGTACCAGGGCAGACCCTACAAGGAGAGGCTACGGGACTTGAACCTGTTCAGCCTTCATAAGAGAAGGCTGAGAGGGGATCTGGTGGCTGTCTATAAACTTACCAGGGGGGGACCAGAGGGAAATGGGTGGGACTCTGTTCCCCCGAGCACCTCCTGGAGTAACAAGGAATAACGGCCACAAGTCAGGAGGCACTACTTCACAGTCAGGGCAGCCAGGATCTGGAACTAGCTTCCAAGGGAAGTGGTGCTGACTTCTACCATAGGGGTCTTTAAAAGGAGGTTTGATAATTACCTAGCTGGGGTCATATGAGCTTAAACTTACCAGGGGTCAAATGAGCCCAGTATTCATTTCTGCCCAGGGCAGGGGGTCGGACTTGATGATCCGATCAGGTCGCTTCTGACCCTACATCTATGAACCTATGAACATTAAACATGTTATAAAAAGCGTAAAAATTAGCAGATGTACACCGTTAGATAAAGAATCCAAAACTACATCAAACTTGTTTTTAAATTATCTTAGATTTCAAGATAGCCATGTGTCTTCAAGTGTTTAGTGTGGCTTGTTTTTCTTTGTTAGACTCATCAGCTGCACAGAACGTAAAGGCTCGGCAGGCTGTATCTCGGGTCAGTCGTGAGGAGCTGGAAGACCGATTCCTGCGGTTACATGATGAAAACATTTTACTTAAACAACATGCACGAAAGCAAGAGGATAAAATTAAAAGGTTTGAAATGTTATTCTTTTAAGCCAAAATCACATTGAGTGATTATGCTTTTGAAGCCTTAATTATCATTGAGTTAAAGTTGTGTAAAAAGACCTTTTTAAAGTGGATGCCTTAGTTCTTCTAACATTTCCCATAGGACACTTATAGGCACATCTGTGCTATATGTATCCAGTGTTCTCAACTTGCTCTACTCAGCTTTTTTCCACTTAAAAACAGTACATGGTTCCTGAAAGCAGCAAGCAAAGTTCTTGAGTGACACTTAGTTCCCAGCTATATAGAGATCTCCTGCTGGTATAGGAAAAAGACTTTCAGTACTACTGGAATTCTGACACAGCAGAAGTGAAAAATCCAAAAGGGGTAAGAGGGAGGGTAAGGGAAATTAAGGAAGGGAGGGACTGAAAAGAAACAATCAACACATGCATTGTTAGTGGGAAGAGTGAACAGAAGCCAGTACAACCTTCTCATAGTCGGACCAAAGCTAAGTTTGGTAAAATAAGAGATGTAGAAAAGAATAAAGATTCCCCATGCTGTTGTGATGGCAGGTATTAGAAGTTACTAGGTAAATACTGATCTCTAATCAGTGAAAAAGTGATGGAAGGTAAAATCATGAAGGAGGAAAAAAAGAGAATGCTGGCAGAAGGAGAGAAGAAATGGGGAAAAAAGTAGACCCAGGTAGCTTATAAGAAAAAAAGAAATGGGTAAATCTAGGATGAATCTATCCATGTGTGTGTATATATGTGTGTGTTGCAGTCAAAAACAGGATTCAAACATAGTTCAGTTAAGGACTGAGCTGACACCTCATTCAATTAATGACAGAAAGCCCTTAATAACTATCACAAATGAGCTGTAAAACTAAATGACAGAAACAGGCTCCTTCTCAATATTCAGTAAATGAGCTATCAAAAATCCTAGTATACGTTAGCTGCAATAGTGTCTCTCACTAATGCAAGCAAGAAGTGGTTTCTGTCTTTGCAGCCTTTACCGGGTGTGGATCCGTCACTGAGAATGATCAGTTAGGTGCAGGTTACAATGTTACAGTGATTTCTTTCTCCCTCCTGGAGTACACATCTTGCCACCAACTCTGGTTTTGTTCTTACACTCTTTAGTTGTATAGCTTCAAAGCATTCCTCCTTGATAGTTGGTTGATTAAAGTGTGAACAGGTAGGGAGGGACCATCATATTACAATTGCTAACTGCTCAGATCCTGTTTTGGATCACCCAGTTGTAAAACTTGTTTTTGATCAGTCCAGAGGTTACGCTTCACTCATAGAGGATGGGTCTTGATTGACTGAATGGGATACCTTGAGGCACTGCTTACAGGACACTGTTTGGGATAGTTGTTTTAACAGTGGGGCAGAACCCAAAATATTCTAAACCGGTGATGGTCTATGGAGACGTTTGTAAAACTCCAAATAGACATTGAATGCCTGTTCTGAGAAATATACTTTGATCAAGAGAAGATGTGTCAACAAGGGGGGATACAGTCCTATAAGGAGATGCAGTTATTTATGAATGGTTTAGCATAATAAAACATTGGGTATATTTGCAATTAGCACAGGAGACGAAATCAATTGGGCTTCATTTCGCAAAGTCCCAGTCACAATCCTGCATTCCTGTGCAAGATGCACTGTTATTTTGATTTGGTCATTTAAATTTCATTTGTAGGTCTTGCCAAGCTTTCATCGTCATCAGCATGCGCGCGCGCACACACACACACACACACACACACACACTCTCTCTCTAACTTTATTCAACATTATTAATTAATGCAGGCATGAGTACACAAGACATTTACTGCAGAGTTGTTTAATTAGCTCTGTAGTAAATGTCTTGGTGTCTACACATGCAGTGCTATTAGCACAGACTAAACTAATTAATAGACCTGTGTGAAATAGCAAGTATTTGCTTCGGATTCGGATTCAGCTGATTCAGATAACAGTGATTCAGTCTGGAGATTCAAATCACTGTCCCAAATCAATTTGGCTGAATCAGATCCAAAAGATTTGGTGCCACTTAGGAAATTCAGCCATAGACTAAACAGGCAGCTGACATAGCTGCCTCCAACTAGTAAGTTGGTTGGGGTTGGAGGAGGGAGGGAGGGATTGGGGCTGGGGCTGGGGCTGGGGCTGGGACAAGCTGCCCAGCCAGGCCAGCGGGAGTGTTATTCGGGGAGGGGAGCGGGATGCAGACTCAGCAGCACTGGGAGTGGGGACTCTGCCCTGCTGCCACTTACCCACCCGGAGCAGGGCATGGGGCAGGATGCAGACACAGCTCCCTGCGGATGGAAGGGGGCAAGCGGCAGAGGGCATAGCCCTCACTCCCAGTGCTGCCACACCCACATCCCACACTGGCTGGGCAAGTGGTGGCAGGGCAAAGCCTCCACTCCGAGGGTGGCAGGGCAAAGCCTCTGCTCAGAGCGCTGATGCTGGGGCTATGCCCTGTTGCTGCTTGCCCTCTTAGGCCCAGAGTGAGCTGCACCTGCATCTCCTCCCTCTCCCCACCACCACTGTGGTGGACAAACAGGAGCAAGGCATAGCTCCTGCTCCCAGTGCTGCTGCACCCTCATCAGCACTCAGAATGGGGACTTTGCCCTGCTGCCGCTTGCCAGCCCACACAGGAAAATTGGCATTGCCAACGCTTGCCAGTTGGCATGGCCAGGCCCAGGATGTCGGCACAGCAGCGCTGGGAGTGGAGGCTATGCCGTGCTGCCGCTTGCACCCTTCTGCCTGGAGTGAGCCGTGCCTGCATCCCACCCCCTCACCCCGCGCC